CGAGTTTAAGTTATAAACATCATGATAGGAAATAATTCGTTTAGTAAAGTGATGCTTTCGATATGAAGAATATTCCAATAGGAAAATAAACTTTTTATGATCGGAATAGAATTGTTGAGAAAAAAAAAACAGATACAATTTTTGTAGGTTCTTTCTGTCAAAGGCGATGGACATATATTTTCAGAAAAGCATTTATACAGTCCTTAACACAATGACTACAAAATTGGAAATGACGAACTTGAATTCCTTGGGTGGATCGTTTTGTACTTTTCTCAACCAAACTTTGAGAACAATGAAGTTGAAAATGCTGTTTGATATATATATCCGTACGGGTTTTTGATTATAATAGCCTATTTTCTCAAAGACTTGTCTTTCTGCAAAGTTTCGAATCAAAATTTGAAAATGATCTTTCTCAGCATTCGTGAGAGAGACTATATGGCATTATAGTAAAAAATTCCGTATAAAATCAGTTTCTCAGCAGCAATAGGATAAGAGTGTGAACTCTTTTTAGTATATTCATATCTTATTAGAACTTGCATGATACACATAGTTCGCACTCAAAAGTGATTAATGAATTGAAAAGCTTGCCTTGTCAGTACATATCTAATAGTCTTGTTCTCTGCACTATATGTGTTATTTTCCGTTCTACATCATCTTGAAGACATTACACATTGAGATGTTAATCGATCGGCAGAACCACCAATGATGGCTACAGGAATTTTAAAAATTTTTAAGCCAGCTCCATGACATAAAATTAGATAAAAGATAGATTTTTGAAAATGTTCAATGTTTAGGATCAATTTTTTTTGACTACTTTCTTATCATCATGTTCTGTACTATTATTTTCTGTCTTTTACATTTCATAATTTCAGTCGTAGCCGTCGATAAGATTCATTACTTTACAGATCTAATTAAAAGTTCTATAAAATTCAAAATAAATCCCTTTTCATAAGATTTTTTTTGCCTTTAGGAAATACTTTACCTGTTCCAATGAATATTTGTCCAACACCAAAATCTTTTATTTATCTTTTAAAACGAATAAAAAGTATGATTTTTTCGAAAAATTCATCAACAAACAATAATGAACTATTAAATCGAAATAGAGAAGATCGATTAGATGATCTTAATATTAGACATCGTAATAATGATAATAATGATATAAATAATAGAGGTACACAAAATGATAGATTTAAAAATGAACGAATCTTTGATCGTCAACGTAGTTATGTAATACATGAAACATTAACATATAAAATAGTGATTGAACGTATTATTCGACGTTTTTTACTCTATTATAAAAATAAACATATTGGTATGAATGAAACAAATGATGGTCTTGTAGTTAGAGAAGTTAAAAATGATGTATCATCACTTCGTTTTGAATTATTAAATGAAGTTGATATGCTTGATGAAATGCGTTCATCGATTGCTGAACCAATGAAAAAATTCAATGATAATTTACGAAAAAATTTTGATTTTGAAGCTATTAAACAATATTTAAATGATCAAAAAACATAATTTTTTATCTTGTGGAACATTTATATGAATAAACTTATTCTTTTTGTTGATGTTGTTACGCTTTTCTTCTTTGCTCATATTTATTTAATAAATACTAATTTTTGTTGTGTAAAAGAAAGAATCAATGAACATATGTTTTAGTTTTATAAATTTCTACCTACTGCTAATGCATGTCAATGATGAAAGATATTAATCGCAATATGTTTTAGTGAATGTGTTTTAAATTACAAGAGTTAACTAAAGTTTCGAATAGTTTAATCTAACTCAATAAGAAAATTGATCGATAGATTATCGTATTCTAAATCAATCAAACATATGAATATTTTTCATCAAAAAAGTTTTCAATCGATCCTAGGTCATCTAAAAAAAGAAGGATTTTAAGTCTCACTCAATGAAATGTTCCTTGCAATACGATCTTATTTTTCGATACTGCTCTAAGCTATCTGCTATTCTTATTGAAAATTCAATCACAATTTGTTGTTTGACAAGCTTGGTCTCGATGACAAAAATTTTCTGTCATAATATGTATATGATAAAGCATTATTTCCTATATAAGAAAGTAACTTGTATTTGGGAAAAGATATCTATACAATGAGTTCTAAAGTATTCTCAACTATTGGGAAATATCCATATTGCACATTGTGGATTTTCTCAATATGATGATTTGGTTTTTTTCCAGTACGTTTCCATCCTGCGTATATCTGTTTTTCTCTATTCTCTGTGTACATCTATCCAATGCGTATATAGTTTTTTATTATGTGTTCTCCTTTTCTGTCATACATGCTATGGATTTTTCCTACTTTTCCTGTCGTATAAATAACCATTGATTTATTACTTTTCTGCTAGTTATTTAGTCCTAGTATTATTTTGTAATTTGTGTTGATCAAAAAGAAATAAACTCAAGCACAGAAAAGCAAACAATATACGAAAGTAAGAAAAGAAAAATAGAATTTATCAACTAGTATATCTACTAATGAAATATTGGCAAAATATTCATTGAAAATATAGTAGAAATAACCATAACCATTCGAAAAGTTCTTGTTGTTGAGAACAGCTTGATATAATATAGGTGATAAGTGTGATATTAGACCGTGCAAATTAAAAGTTAGTCGATCAAGTTTTCAACAAATTAAAACTATGTTAGCTAGTTATGTGTAGAGTCGTCAGATCTTTGAAATCAACCATAAAAATCTGTATTTCGATATTTTTCTAGATTCAAGTAAAAGTCATCTAAAGTAGTTTAGAAAGCCGTTCTAAATTTCATATTCTTGTTCCAAATACAACGTCACGAGCTATACGAACAGTATAATTATATTTGTGGGAGGCCAGAATTTCTGCCCACGGAATTTTTGACCCGGTCCGAAATTCCGGGTGAGTTTTCGGGCCGGGCCGAAAGTCCACAAGGAATTTCGGTCCATGACCTCATTGACCCTAAAATAAAAAACCTAATTTTTTAAAATTAGTTGCTAGACATCGTAGCGCTGAGCAGGACGCCATAGTGCTCAGCGATATGATGTAGCGCTGAATGGTATAGTGCAGTACTGAGCAGGACGTCATAATCTTTAGCATTATGGCGCAGATGTGAGTGTGAGTGAAGTGTGGAGTAGTGTGGATGTTGAAGGAAGAGACATTCACACCCCATATCCTCTGCTTAGCACTACGTCATATTACTCAGCACTATGCCATACCGCTCAGCACTATGACGTCCTGCTCAGCACTATGACGTCTTGCTCAGCACTACGACATATCGCTGAGCACTATGACATCCTGCTGAGCACTACGTCATACTGCTCAGCGCTACGTCATATCGCTGAGCACTATGGCATTCTGCTCAGCACTACGTTGTCTAGCAACTAATTTTAAAAAATTAGGTTTTTTATTTTAGGGTCAATGAGGTTATGGACCGAAATTCCTTGTGGACTTTCGGCCCGGCCCGAAAAGTCACCCGGAATTTCGGACCGGGCCGAAAATTCCGTGGACCGAAATTCATGGAACCCGAATATATATATGTGATTCATGTAAATGTGTGCCACGAAGCTACTTTTTTTTGTAACAACAGTGATCGTATATGACTTGTGCAGAAGTTAGGTCTATTTTATTTTTGAGGGATATTGGTTAGAGTTATTACTTTTTTTCGATGTAAATCAGCTGCTGGTTAGTATTTTATGTATATAAAATACGAGTGTGAATATGCGCGATGATCTTCTTTTCATCTTCATCTACACTCACATCAGCAACTTTTACTAGATGACTTCCACAATTTCTATAAGATTCTATTAATACATCGAAATTTTCCAGGGCATGGCCTGAGCTAAAGATAAAGAAAAACTAGGAAAAAAAAGAAAACAGAACGACAATGGCAGTTAGTGTACCGCATAATATTTTTGCCAACTAGTTTGCTGAAGAAGAAAAAAAGGAAAGAGTTCTTTGCATAGTCAACATAACGTATGATGCAAAATCAATAGGCAAATGTCGGCCCTTACTTCTTGTTAATAGAAGGTGCTGGGAGGAATATTTTTTTTACGAGAAAATAGAGCTTTTCTCCTCTTTCGAATCATATATAACTAATTTCTATGACACATTCATAAATGAAATGACATAAAAGAAAAGAGAAGCATCCTTAAAAAGAATCCGCACTTTTTGTGAGATTGACAAAAATGGCACAAAATGTTGATCCCTATAGCTCTTCGATAAATAGATCTTGAGAAGAATATTTTTTTATCAATTGATAGAAAATTTCTCCTCTGTCGAACAGTTTATGATTTATATTTGTCATACGTTGGCAAATGAATTGAGAGGAGAAAAAGAGAGAAACACCTACGCAAAAAATTTGTAATTTTTATATGAATTCGTCAAAAAAAAACCTTGTTAGAAAACAATCAATTCGATTTTTATGGACTTACAAAAAAGGCTTTGTGAAACGGTGGCTACTTCCATTTTTATGAACTCGTTGATAATATCTGGTAAAACGACAGTTAATAATAATTAAATGTCGTCTGCAAGATGTTTTTGACGCATTCATATAAAAATTACAAGTTTATTGCACGTGTGTCTCTTTTTCTTCTTCGTCTCCTTTCGCTCACCAATGTGCGATAAACATGAATCATATACTGTTCGATAGAGGAGAAAATTTTCTATCAACTGCTAAAAAAATATTCTTTTCAAAACCTATTTATCGAAGAGATATAGGGATCAACATTTTATACGATTCTTCTATACGAAAAGTGCGAATTCTTTTTAAGGAAGCTTCTCTTTTCTTTTATGTCATTTCATGCATGAACGTGTTATAGAAATTAGTTATATACGATTCGAAAGAGGAGAAAAAGCTCTATCTTCTGGTAAAAATATATTCCTTTCATCGTCCTTCTATTAAAGAGAAGTGAAAGCCGACATTTCTCCCATTACTTTTGCATCATACGTTATTTTGATCCATAGTAAGTCTTCATTGACATCTACCTCTTATAATTAAAGAGGCTCTAGATATGTGCACCGTACAATCAGATGCTGAAGCTGTTGAACTAAAATTCTATCGAATTCTGGCCAAGTTCAGTCAAGAAACATGGAGCAATGTCGATATGGCGGAACAGTGGTCCTTGAAGTTGTATGAAGCACTTGGTCAATTGCTTCAAATTAACCTTAGACCATCTGACGAACTTGTTAGTCATCTAGCAATTACAATTAATGCAATTCTTTGTCCTGATTATACATTTCTTCATCCTGTAGAACAACGCAGTATACTTTCTAAAAAAAATTATGATCATACTAAAATGGAAAAAGCTTTTTCGACCCTTTACAATATTTTGGGTCAACTCGGCTTTGAACGTGTACATCGACAAATAAATGGAGCCCATTTTTGTACTAATCCTAACTACTTATTTATATGTCCTCGACGGCCTCCTTTGAAAACGTATGAATTCACACATCACATGTTTGTGTTTCCAGACAATCCGATGCCAAAGTACATTCCACTGAAAAAACTTCAACATGTTGTCCACAATATTGATGATCTTATGCTAATTATGAATTTAACAAAGAATGAAATAGTTTCGCAGTCGAGTCTGCCCATAACTGTGCAACAAAATATGGTAGCTCAATTCAAAGGAGGTCCAAATCATGCATATCATGGGCCAGATATAATTTGGTTTGCACCTTTGCCTCCTGAACAAAGTTCAGATGATCCTCAAGCTTTATGTCCATCGCTTGATTGCACAAACTCATGCTACGGATGCTATCGTTTTTGTATTCCGTTTAATTATTTTCTTAAGTACAAAGCATATATTCTTGGAACACGTAAATACGACGAAGAATATTGCCATACGATTATGTTGACCGATACCAATGTTCAAAATGTAAAGCTCATCAAAGAACTCGCACCAAAAAGGTTGACCGAGACGAATATCATAGCAGAAACAACTAATGGATCGTTTCAATGGCTCTGCTATCGCGACACAGAAAAAGAATGGGATCAACTAGATTTCGCTGTTGCAACAAGCGTTTTGAAATGCGATCCTATAGAAGATCAGATTCGTCTCGACTTTATTGATCACAAGAATTGCGTGCGTGAAAACTATATGAGAAATGGACCCAAGTGTACAATACAATCACGTACAGAAGCTATGGAAAAGTTTCTAGAGGAACTAACTAAAAATAAAATAAATTTGTCTTCTCTAGAACCCTATTTTGACAAAAAAGTCTACGATGAACTACAAAAACTACAAGAAAAAGAGAAGAGATCTTAAGAAAATCTTGTTTATTTGTTGTCTTCGTTCGGACATTCAATCATGTCTAGAAAAAATAACAATCAAAATTTAAACCTACTTTATTGTACATAATCACGAGCAATATCATCGCATATTTTATGAAACGGACGAAGAGATTTAAATGTTCATTTAAAACTAATTATATTCTTCTTTTAACTAATCAAAAATTATTCGAATAAATAATGTTTTATTTTATTTACAATACAATTTTTGTTGTATCACGCTTTTCATTATTATTCATTTCTACACAAAAAATCTAAATTTCTATTGAATATGTGACAAAAGAGATGCAAATAAGAAGCATAAGATTTGATGATGTAATCACACGGCAGTTTTTTTTATATTTGTTTTTCAAAAAAAATATTAAAACTAACTTTTAATCATTATTCTTCAGAAATGAAGAAACAATTTTTATTAAAATAACGCATCAGATTTCGAATGAACTGGGCTGGACCATAAAAACGATATTTTCACTGGTCATCATGCTTGTAATTGACATAGATCAAGTTTTCACAGCGAAGAAAAACTTTCTCCTACAATGATGTTACTCTCTACGTTAACCGAACCATCTCTGACAATTATCACCTACTTCTTTTTAGAATAATAAGCAAGAAAATTCGGTTTGTTGAATGAGATGAAATATATGGTGGCGATTTCGACATTCAACCTATTGACGACTCCATCCATGTATGTATATAAATGTGTTGAGCTTTTTTCATTGATATTGTTATGAATATGACATTATCCTCAGGTCCATCTATGAGAGTAATCTCTTTTGTTCTCATGATGGACTTTGTGATGTAGGTTATAGTAGAGAATAATATTGAAAAATGTTTTTGTGAGATGAATATATTCAGCTCTTTTGAAATAATTAAATTTTTGTTACTTTTCAGCAAATATCTGGATTCAAAGAGTTCAATAGGGGAATAAAAATCAGGCACAAAGTAACAAAATATAGAGTAGAAAAGGATATGAAATTATTCTATTTATCTTGTAAAACATAGTCGAGGACAGAATCGTCAGAGCATTGCATAGCACAAGTGATAATTAATTTCAAATAGCCGAATTTACATAATATAGTGAACAATCATATATGAACAAAAACATCAGCACATCATAAACAACCATGTGATCGTGATAATGGTGACATTCAAATAGAATAAACTCATGATTACTACCATAATAGCATTTATTGATAAGATGAACACTTCTTGCATTGTGAACTTACGTAGATGATTCATTTGAAAAGCTCTGTATTTATTAAACAGTGCTTAGTTTCGCAATCAAGGGAAATTTACGTAAAAGATCACATTTAGTGTAAATTGTAGTCCAAATATGAAGCGTCGGTTTTAGAACATTCTATTTTTTGAAATTAGTATCTTTTGTCAAGTTTGTATGTGTATGTTGAAGTTAACTTTTAAAGATAACAGAATTTCGAAAGTCAACTTCGACATACATACGTAAGTAAAGACACCTAGAAACCATATGAGCTGTTGTACAGCAATGCTGTCATAAATAAGAAAGTGAATAGATGAGTAATCTCAAACATACACGTTCAATCAACTAGTGGCAGCTTCTTCAGAAATTCAACTACCTAGGTATTTAGCTCAAATATTGCTACAGAAATACTGCGTTTGTGTGTTCCTGTGACACTCACATTAAGAGAAAGAGATGCTGTATGCTTGTGTTTCTACTAACAGTTGAATATTTGAAATTCAGACGTGAAATATTCGATAATTGAATTCAATTTTCAGGCTTAACACATATGAAGTGTTTTTGTCTTAGGTAAATTTTGTGCTTTTCCATAGAAATCTTGTGTGGTTTAGGATTACGTAAAAAGAAAACAGCATTCTTTATGTCTATGTTTTAGTCAATGAAATATGTTGAGCTCTTCGCCAACTTGGATTTCATGCTCTCTATTAGTTTCCAGAAAACTAAATCGATTCTCTAGTTAGTGGATTAGGCTCTTTTACTATCATACTGCTAAAATCCAGGTACCATAAAGTAGCTCGAGTATTCAGGTGTAATGCTCAACGTGCAATTTTAGCAAAATCGCGTCAGAAAACGAACTAATTTTTATATATTGAATGATTTTTCATTGAAGCACATGATGCTACTTGGAAGCTCATAAAACACATCATAAGTAAATTTGTAATTTGGTTCTTACAATTTTAATCAGAACTCATTTCACGCAACTTCTGACAAATGAACAATTTTGTAGTGTAAACTTGCAGAATTTTATCTTGGTACAAATATATGCTGCATTAGAAAATAATGAAAAGAAGCAGAATAATAACAAAAAAACGATATAGTAATTAAAATAAGAAATTAATATATGATCTATATCGAAATCATCATTTAATACAAAATTAGTATTACGAAGAATTATTTATGATAGTATACCTAGAAATGAACGAGGACAAAGCGATATGGTTTTCGATTAACCTAAATAAAGTTTATTTAATACTTAGTCAACGTGTATGAAACAACTATATTTTCCTTAGTCTTTTATACATTTCCTATATTTACTCTTCCATTTGAGAAATCGGAGTCATTATTAGGGTCAATTTCAAATTCTCAAAAGTGATATAATTTAAGTAATGATCGATCATGCCAAATCTGAGTACACATCACGAAGAGCCTACCATTCTGGTAATATATTTAATCGTAGAGACAATTCAGGGAAGCACAGAAAGAAGAATAGGTTAGGAAAAGTTGTTCTCTATCCATCTGTGGACCACATTCAATATTACCTGAAAAAAATCAGTTTATAGTTAGTGTTTGACCAATTGAATCAAACTCGTTGTTCACAAGCGCCTCTCATGTAAGTATGTCACACCAACTTAGTCTCTTTTTGCCTTTTGACAGTAATTCATATCCAAGATTCTTCAGACGTACCCGTCCAATATTCTATGTTGCATGCTTACTTATCTGTAGAAAAAATGGCACATAGTCTAGTTTTATGCTTGAGTTGGTTCAATCTTTCATAGCTTTCATGAAAATGCATAGAGACTAACAATTAGATGGAATCAAGCATATAAACAGGTGTTCAACACTTCCGTTCGATTAAATGTAGGAAATTCCATTATGTAAACATTATACTTGTCGCAAGCAAGGACAATAAAGTTATCTAGTCAGTACATAATCGATTTTCTGTTCCTTCCTTCTCTCTTAGTAGTCCGACGAATTCGAATACTTGTTGGACATTGTGTCGAACAATAAAATCTCTAGTATATACGTGGAACATATCTCATCGATTCATCGATCTATTGAATATTATGCGCTTATTTTGCAAGAAAAGTTTCTTTCATTTCAAATCATTCAAAAGAAAAAAACTGTGTTCGACGTACTGACGAGATTACATTCTAGCTTAGCTTCATATGTGAATTCGAAAAACATTTTTTGGATATGTTCAAAACATTTTCAATGTACAGAGCAATCAAAGATGATATTTCTTTAGGATATTCAATTGATTTCAACATTTCATTTCGTATTAGAAAGCACAAAAAAAAATCATATAAGAACATATATTATTATAAACATTCCATGTTAAAGAAAGTGGGTTGGGTAATTCTTGTGAATAAACACATTATCAACAAATCGTATATAGATTTCATATGCTGGCATCCTATAGATTAGAAATTCTCTGAATCTATCGAAACAGTATTTTCTTTTGAATCCATATTTGAAATTAAGCTAGAATAAAAACTCGCCACATTGTGGAGCATAAGTTGCTCTTTTGAATAGTGTGCTATGAAAGACAGCTTTCTAGTCAAATAACTACATGGCAGTTGACAAACATAAATGGTTCGATAGTTTTGAAAGGATGAAAAAAAAGGAGGAATGCTGAGATTGTTTTGTCAATAAAGTCTTAACAGATCAATGAATCGATCAGAAATATTCTGCATGTATACTGGAGTCTATATTGTTCGAAATATTGTATACAGAGTATTAGAATTCATCGAGCTATTGAAATATAAGAGAAGAAAGAGAATAGTTGCATAATTATTATAGCTACTGTATGAATAAATAATCGCTTCTATATTAGAAAGCATTCGATTCAATTACATTATTTACATGCGATTTATTTTTTAATGACTACTAGAAAAAAACCAGCATTAGTATTTTGATGCAGAGAAAGTAGTTTTTTTCTTGAATTCAGAAAGAATAAAGCATCCTATAAAAGAACAACTTAATATCACCAATATCAAGCTTTTTTTTTACTACAGGTTGGCTTGATCAACTGTTAGAATCGTACAAGAATGCGAGCAAGATTTTATATTCTATTAGTGGTTCTGCTGTTGTCGGTTGCGCGTAAGTTTCATGTTTTGTTTCTAACTTGATTAATATAAGTCTATTTTTTACTCGATTTCAAACAGTTTTTGTAAATGTGCAAGGAACATTCGACGAAGATGGAGATAAATACGAATTATGTGCTCAAAGTTGCCGCCAACTAGAAAGTCCACGTCAGAGATCCAACTGTTTCAGGAGTTGCAGAATAAAAGCGACTCCATAATATATTATGTGAAATACTGTTTGAAACATTAAAACTGAATTAACTACTGAAATTATTTTTTTTTACTCGATTTATTAAATAAAGAATTCACTTATATGCATGCTAAACACTACGTATATATATATATTTAGAAGATAATATATTTTTCGTTGAATATTTACTTTAGGGAAAGGCTGTTCTAGCTATGTCCACAAATCTAAATCAGTGCAATGAACATAAATACAAATCAATGCTTCTCTACTGTCTTCTTACTGTGGCTTCATAAGTGTCGTAGGTCGTATTGAATTCACTCTTGAACAATGTTATAGAATTCTATCTTTTATTCATTTGATTATTTTCGTGTATGCATCGCATATCTTGAGTATCCTCCTTTATATAAATATAATGGTATTCATTTTCCCATGTATAACGGAGTTAAAGAATTATGAGACGACCAAAGGGAATCGGTAGCTTCTGATTCTATTACTATTCATTTTGATATTTTTCAACACAAACCATTTGCTAGGTGTATGCATGTAGTATAGTCGTAGGAACTCAGGAATATTCTGTTTGTCAGAGACGGAATCTTGGCTGATCTGAAACAGGCATAAAATGGTCAGATTTATGCCATAGAAGGTAAGGATGTCCGAAATTTTTCTAATATAACGTTTGCAAGTCGTATATTTGTCAGTGCATCCATTCCATTTTCATCGGCATACCTCATGTGATTTTTCTCACTGGGGTGTACCTTGAGCATGACTTAAATAGACTTTTATCGGCAATATTGATATTTTCAACAGGTCCATGTTGGCAATGAAACTTGAGCAATGACAAGTGCGATAGAATATATTCAAGCTAGTGAGAGCTTATTCAGATAAAAGAATCGAAGTAATACAAGGTGAATGCTGCCTATTCATCAGGAGCAGTTGCCGTAGGATAGTAGTTGCTTTCAATGCATGTCCAATTGGTTGAATAAACTGCAAATATTTTCATTTTTCTTTTTTAGTTCTGTTCCTTTTAATACAATCAAAAATGAATTTTCAAGAGAAAGACTTCATTCGAAAATTTTCGACGTGAATGCTGGTACCAGGGTGTAGATCTTACACACAGGATTCATTAAGTTTACTCTGATCGTAGTCTAATAATGTCAAGTATGGTGAAGCAAGATCTTTATATGTTAATAACTGTAACTAGAATAAGAAAAATATTCTTTAGGTATAAGAAACATGACGTCATAAAGTTGCATGCTATCTCGTTGCTGTTTTGACTTGAGCACAACACTTAGTCCGCATGTTGTTCTACTAATATAATGTCGAGCTATAGTTATAGAATGAATAAATTGCTCTTTTAATAAAATATTGCTGTAACTGGCAAGTAATGGAGAGAAATATTCTTTGATCACACTCAATACCACATTGAAAGATCTTCTACAATCAACAACAGAAATGAAATTAAACGATGTTGAGTATAAAACCTTTTTATCACTACTTATTACCGCTTTCAATAACACTACAAGATACGAAATCGATCTATGAAACACTGTGGGGATTAATAACAATGATGTTGTCATTTTGTGCATGAAATGGAAATTGTCATACTTCATGTTTTGAGGTGTGTCGGAAGACAACCTTAGAAACGGTTTTATGCTTTCAAAACGTGCGCACCCAGCAAAAACAGAGAGAGATCTGCACAGATTATAAGCTTTATCAAAAACATAGAGTACCGTGAAACGGCGTGGGACAGCTGTGCAGATAGCTGTGGTATACAGAATTAGTCGTAATTGGCGTCAGTGTTTTATCCAGGATTTTTTCTCCGGAGGGGCGATTTGGAATTTCGGGGGGGGGGCGAAAAATTATTTTCGGGAGAGCAAGCCACGTGTTTTTAGTACGATGATCGCAAGTTTCGGGGGGGCGAACTCGATTTTCGGGGGAGCGCGGCCCCCCGGGCACCCGTCTGGATAAAACACTGATTGGCGTCATGTTAATAAAAGAGATTGGAATACTGCTTTTAAATACTGTCACTCCTAGTAAATATTTTCTTTTACAATTATCAAATGGGAATAATGTGTATTGCTTGACTTTACCAGAAGATTCCATCCAAAAACTTTTGTTTTTCATCCACTTACAAAAAACAAACACCAACTATAAATGTGATTTCATTTCAGCAATTGGCTGAATCTTAAGCATGTCTCGAAACAACGAGTGTTCCATAGTGATTTTAACTCCTCTTCATTGATCATAGTTAACAGCGGTAAAAAACCCTAAACATACTTACCATGGTGTATTTCATCTCAAACAGACTCTAGAATAAGAATATGTCATATCTCTATCCTAGGTCAACAAAATAAACTGATTTTTTTCTGCTGGATGATAGAGGCTGACTCAAAACTTTTGTTTTATATGAGCAGGGCTAATCAAGGCTGCATTGAACTAGCATCATTGGCTGAAATTAAAAAAATGTTCTTAACAGATTTATTATACTGTGTGTAAATTTATCTTCGAGCCTGTGCACTTGATTATTGTTTTCATTCTTTGTCGCTTACTTGTTTTCTTCTTTCGTTGCAAGAACATCGCATATGCAGTTGTCTCTATCAATAAAATGTAGAATTTCCTTCCATTTTTCTCTCTCTCCCATATGTTGCGCAGTTGTGAATAGAGAAAAACACACTTCAACTATATTTTTTCCAATTACTTCTTTCTGTTCTTTATCTTTCGACGTTTATAAATCGACCCATCTTTTCTCTAACTCTCGATTTCTATTACATGTCTTGTAAAAACGCATATATTCCTTCTTTAAACTAAGTATAAGATATGGCTCCACGCCAACTTATTCTGAATGAAAGGTTGTGAATCGTGAAGCATTAATACAAACTTGAATACCCAATCCAAGTTCAGAGATAGTGGCGCAAGTAAATGAAGAACGAACATCTTGTTTTATCAACAATAACTA